CTCATACCTCACACCCCACACCCCTGCACCCTGAGCCCCTGCACCTCATACCTCACACCCCACACGCCTGTACCCTGAGCCCCTGTGTCCCCACACCTTGCACTCTAGCACGCCTGGGGTCTGAGCTGGCAGTGACCATAGCTGCACCTCTAGCAGAGTCTGACCTCATGTCAGACGGTGTCCCCAGCCCCATGGGCCCTCATTTATGGACTCAGCCTGCTCTGCAGGGACTTTGCAGCTGCGGGCGAGGAAAGTGCCTTGCGGACCCGTCTGGGGACGGCCCCGAGAGCCCATGTCCCGCGTAAGGACGGTTGGAGCTCTGAGCTAGGCGGCACGGCTGTTAGGCCACCCCTGCTCTCCACAGTGGGGTCACTGCAACTGCGTCCACGCCACCTCTGCCTCTGCGCTCCCCACGTGGGGCAGATGCAGCGGCTCACGTGAGCAGGGCTCTGAAACCAGAGCCGCTGTCGCATCCGCCGGCTGCGTGGCCCACCACGAGCACAGTCCCCGGTGCCCCAGAGGCGCCCGTGCTGTGCCTGCCTCGGAGCTCCGGGCCGGTCACTCAGCCAGCACCGGGGCGCCGTCTCCCGCGGGCTGCCTGTGTGCCAGCTCAGCCCAGTGTTCTTGCTCGTAGGGAGCCGCCGCGGACGACGGCCGCCTGAAGCGCGGCGATCAGATTCTGGCTGTGAATGGCGAGAGCCTGGAAGGCGTCACCCACGAGCAAGCCGTGGCCATCCTTCAGCACCAGCGGGGCACCGTCACCTTGGCCGTGCTGTCGCGGGACTCCGGCTGCTGTTAGGGCCCCACGGGAAGAGGGGCTTCAGGGGAGGTAACAGCCGCATTGACCCCCACGCGGAGCCCAGGGCCTCGGCTGGAGGTGACCGGCCACCGTCCCTTCCTGTGGGGCTGCCTTCCCGCCCTGGGGTGAGCTTGTCTGCTTCGCAGTGGATGTCGGCTCTGCCCGCTCGGTGCTCGTGGTCCTGATGCCACGTGCTGAACCGGGGAGGGGCCTGCTCGTCCTTGGTCCTCTGTCTCCATCCTGCACCACGGAGCCCAGCAGCAGCCTCCTGTCCCCGAGGAGCGGTGTCGTCCATGATCTACAAAGAAGGCTGGACACGCAGGCGCTCCCGTGGCCAGCCAGCCACGCGTCCTCTCTCCTGCAGGACTCGGGGCTCTGGAGGGCCAGGCCTGAGTCTCTGCACGGCCTTGCCGTGGTTATCCTTGGTGATCCTGATGTCCTGCCAGCCCGGAAAGGCTTTCTGGTTGTTTTCTGAGCTCCATAAATGCACCCCAAGTGGACCCACCTGCTCCAGACAGGCGCCTAGCCGGCCTCAGCACTGCTGCCTCCATCCAGGAGCTCTTCTGGGGTCCCGGGCCCCTGGAGGTCCATCCGGCCCCCAAGAAGGGCAAGCCCCAAGTCACACTGGGCCCCCCAGCAGCAAGGACCTGGGGGACCTTTGCTTGGCCATCAAGCTGTGCATGCACTGGGCACCGGTGGTGAGCGCCCGGCTGCATCTCCTGCCCTGGGAGCCACCCTTCCTTGAAAGTTACACACTAAGAGAGCAACTCGGGCAGAAACCCTGGGCCCCCATGGGTGGTGCCGGGTACCGGCCGGGAGAGGTGCTCAGCAGCAGGGGCTCCGGCCTGCTGTTTAAGAAGCACCGAGAAGGCCGAGAGCCAGGTCCGGCCGGGGTGCGGCTGTTCACTGAGAGCCCACGTGCCCCGGGACGCCAGACCCGGGCGGCCCCGCCCAGTGTCAGCTGGGCATCAGCTGGGCTCCTTCCAGCGCTGTCACACCGAGTGCTTTAGCTCTGCTGACACCCCGCTCCCAGGAACAGCCCCCGCATACGCAGTGTGGCCCGCGCGTCTCACGGCCGCTGTGGGGTTCTGTGGGGCCACACGCAGGGCAGCGTCTGGTGTGCCCCACGTGGGCAGTGGGTGAGAGCCACGCTCTTCCCGCGCAGGGAGATCTTGGGGTTTGCAGAGACAGCAGCCAGGGAGGCGAGGTGGGCGACGCCCCCAAATGCACCTTACGTGTGTGTGATGTGTGCACACAGGACGCTCTGAGACATGGTTCTCAATTTTGGTGGGCCTGCCATTAAACACACTGCAAGAACACCCGCTGCCTGTTCCTTCGCGCATGCACCCGCTGGCCGGCCGGGGTGACAACCGGCTCTCCCCTCCCTGTAGTCCTGAGGGGCGGCGCCAGTGCTGCTTTCTGGGGAAAAGGCGCGTGCGTCAGCGCGGGCGGACTGCTGAGGCTGTGAGGGGAACCGTGAGAATGCAGCTTTCTTCCGTTCCTTCTGGCTTCACCATCCGCCCTGAGCACGCAGCTGCTGCACTCTGCGGGCCGGGAAGAGCCAGGCTCCTCGGGGCTGCAGGGCCTGGAGCTCGTGTCCCCCACGGGTGAGGTCGCAGCAGAGTGTAACCCTGCGCTTGAGGCCTCGCTTCCTTGTGGCTTCTGCTTCGAGACAAGGAGTCCAACCTGTCACGGCTTCCTGAAGCCACTCCTCACTGCCACACCCATCCACGCCTCCCTGCCGCAAACATCCCTGTCCCACATCTGCCACACCCCTCCCTATCATACCCGGCCCCTCCCCGCTGTCACACCCATCCGCTGTCACGCCTGTCCGCTGCCACTGTCTTGAGTGTCAGAGGAGACACCTTAGCCGGGAGCCCAGTCGCAGCAGAGGCGGGGTTGCCACCACTGCCTGAGGCTGAATCCCGCCCTCCTGGGGGGACCTTGTGCAAGGACTTCCTCACCTCCGGCTTTACTTTCTCCACCCAGAGTGCCTGACACCTTTGTGGGAGGGGTCAGAAACCAGTCACTAGGGCTGGCAATCCACAGATTTGATCAGCAGTCACCTCTTAAACCTGTGATTTAAAAATTAATTACTTAATTTAACAGTTAATTAGCTGAGCATGGTGGTGCACGCTATAATCCCAGCACTCGGGAGGCTGAGGCAGGAGGATTGTTGTGAGTTCAAGACCAGCCTGGGCTACAAAGTGAGCTCAAGGCCAGCCTGAACTGCATAGCAAGACCCCGTCACAGTAAATAAATAAGTAAACCTAGCCATTGTCAGGATGCCCCCAGAACATTATTTACGCAGGAACGTAAGAGCACTGTGCCGGGACACAGAGGCTGTGGCGCGCCACAGGTGTGCTCAGGAGGCAGAGGCCTGGGACGTCGTAGAGGCCACGGGGAGAGACGGGCAGCGGAGGTGGCACTGGCTTCTGCACAGGGCAGAGGGTGGTGGGCAGCTGTCTGCCAGGTGCGGGTCCTCGGCCGCCAGCCTGTGCATTCGCAGCCGATTTTAGAGGTAGGCTTCGCGCAGACACCGCAGCGCACACGTGAGGCCTGCCCGGCGGGGGCGTGCACAGAACCAGAGGAATTTCGGGAGAGCCTCAAATAGGCAGCTATCATCCCAGGATCCAGGAAGGCCGAGGCAGGAGGGTCTCAAATCCGAGCCCCATCCCATTAAGTCCAAGGACTTGGGAGACCCCGCCTCAAAATTAAAAGATCATTTTAAAATAAAAAAATAAAAAGATCAAACCAGGGCCGGAGGCGGCTCTGCGAGAGACCCAGGCTCCGCCCCGGGCCACGCACCTGGGCCCCTGAAAACGCTGCATCTCGGGGGTCACCACCCTCACACCATCCTGGTCCCTAAACTGACCCCTGTGACCCTCCCCCAGCAGAGCCTGCCTGGGGCCCCTGCTGCAGCCTGGAAGCCGCTGCAGTCACCAGTGCGGTGGCCACGGCCCCTCTGACTCTGCCCTGCTCCCCGCAGGGGTCCCACCCCACCTTCCCATTTCTGGTTGTTCACACAGCAGAGGGCGGATTCCATCCCGCAGACCCTGGAGCAGACGCAGAAGGCAAGGGCTGAGGTGCTGACGGGGGCCGCAGTCAGGGTGAAGGCTCCGCCTTCGCGAGCGGTCGGGTCACACTCGGGGACACACGGCAGCAGAGAGCAGCCTGGCTGCCCCAGTGCCCAGACTTCCAGTCCTTTGGGGGGGAGTGAGAGGACCAGAGCAACCCGGCCTTATCTCAGGAAGTCAAGAAACATTTACTGTCTTCAAACCCTAACAGCTTGAACTTGTACCCCAGCTTTATATTATTATTGCTATTTTTGTTTTGGGTTTTTCTTAGTTTTGTTTTGGGACAGGGTCTCCCCATGTCACCCAAACTGGCCTGAAAGTCGGGGATCCTCCTGCCTCAGCCTCCTGAGTGCTGGGATGACAGGTGTGCGCCACTACGCCCAGCCCACCACACTCAGTTTGCATCACAGGTACTTTAGGAGTTTCGTGATCAGATTTATTTTTTCAAATAATGAGAAACCAGGAGCACTTGGGAGGCTGAGTCAGGAGGCCCCAAAATTGGAGGTCAGCTGGGCTACGCAGTGAGACCCTGTGAAGGTTTGGCCACGCCCATGCTGCAGACTGAGCTCGGGTACCCCTGGGCCTGCTCTCCACCCCAGCCCCTGTGCCCCTCGTCCTGGGGTCCCACCCGGGCGCCCAGAGGTCTCAGCCCGCTGGGTTCCCAGCACCGCGCAGGCGCATGCGCAGAGCAGAGCCAAAGCCACGCCGCCCCGCGCTTCTCCTCCGCAGCCAGCAGGGGGCGCGCGGCCTGCAGGGCCCGAGCCGCCGGTTCCGGAGACCTCGCAGTGCCGCACAGGACCAGAGTGGGCTGCCCGAACCGGAGACTCGTGAACAGGCGGCGGCTGTGTTGTTTGTTTATTTTGTTTTGATTTTGTCTTTTTGAGACAGGGTCTCACTATGCAGTTCAGGCTGGCCTTGAACTCACTGTGTGCCCCAGGCTGGTCTCGAACTTACAACGATCCTACGATCCTCCTGCCTCAGCCTCCGGAGTACTGGGCTGACAGGTGTGCCTCGACTCCAGGTGGCGGTTGTGCCGGGCGTGGTGGTGTCGCCTGCGAAATCCCACCACTCGGGAGGCCGACATAGGAGGCCTGTATGAGGCCAGGCTGGGCTACCAGGCGCTCTGCCTCAGAACATAAGGAACAGCAGAAGCCCGGTGGGGGCCGACGCCGTCTCTGCGGGACCCACTGACCCAGAACAGCTCGGCCTGGACAGGACCCACCCAGAAGAGGGGGCCCCGGGCCTGAGGGGGAGCCCTGGCTGGGCCCTGGGCCGGGACAGCGCCTCAGGGCTCCCTGGCTGGGTCCCCGCGTCAGGTGTCAAGGTGCCAGAGGGCTTTGCCCAGCCAGTGTGAGGAGGCTGAGGCAGGAGGATAATGAGTTCAAGCCTGGTCTGGACTTCAGGACAAGATCTCCTCTCAAAACACAAAGGGAATCAAGCCCCCAGCAGTGCGGAGAGCTCCACCTGCTGCTCTTGAAACCCGACGTACCCATTCCCCCACTGAGAGGGACCCGGCTGGCCAGCACAGGGGGCGAGGAGGACAGGGCGGGCGGAGGACTGGCACTGCAGCGGAGCCTCCCGCGCGGTGGGGACCCAGGCCTGGCCCTGTGACCTGGGGAGGGCACAGCCTGTCCTCCTGGGTGGCCAGGCGCCTGCCCTGCGCCATGCGGGATGCACCCCAATCCTGTGCCTGCCCGGCCCCTTTGCTGCTGACGGCCAGGCTGGGCCCTCTGTCCCCACGGTGCTGCCAGAAGCCCCCTCCACTGCAGGGCCTCGCGGGTACCCGCAGCCTCGGGGCCACCCGTGTGCACTGTGACCTGCGCCCGCGTGCGACAGGAACATCACCGGCAACTGCACAGCCCCAGGATGCGCAGGGTCCACCTGAGGACTAGAACCCGCGAGTGGGAACAGCGCCGGGTTCACACGGAGGCCAGGGCCGGTGCAGGTGAGGCCCGGTCCCCAGCACTGCAGACAGTGCCAAACCCACGCCCGCTCCCACGGGACCCCTGCGGAAGACCTGCCGGTGCCAGGCGCCGCACTGGGCGCCACCCTGCAACTGAATCAACACCGCTGGGGCCGCCGGGGCCTGGTGCACGGGGGCCCGGGCTCAGCCCGTCACCCACACGCACTGCTGGGAGGAGATAGCGCGCTGGTCCCCACTCTGCACGACAAGGGAAAGGGAGAGGAAGGGAGGGTGTCATCTTCGTGGCTGAAGAAGGCGAGACTTGAGTCTTCTCCAGGTATTGCGGGACTTAATTCAGCACTGATCAGAATCCCAGAGGGGGCGAAGCTCACGGCGTAAGTTCACGCTCTCCACCAGTGCCTCTGTGTGCTGAGCGCAAGCCTGGAAGGGTGTGCAGGAGCCTGCCGAGGCTGTCCTGTGGCCGTCGCTTCTGTTTAACCAGCCTGCTGCAGGGGCGGCTGTTACCGAGCGATGGAGACCGCCGTGAAGCAGCGCCCAGCAGTATTTAATTTAAACCAATTGGCTCTTCATGTTTGCGTGTGAGCTTGCCCGAGGCCTAGGCCCTTGTCCAGAGATGGGCGTTGGGCCCATGGTAAGTGAACCCTATGAGTCACTGGCCCCCGCTGAGGCCTGTTTGACCTGTGCAGTGGGGACGCCCCAAAGGACAAGACGAGACCACAGCTGAGGATGTTAGGCTCCAACCCCAGTAAACTGAAAGGAGGCTGTAGCTGCAGACTTCTCACTCCTGCATGAAGGCCGTCCTGGCCTTAGCGGAGTTCTCCTAAATTAAGGTAATTTATTACCTAGAAAAGCCGGAGAGGGTTTCCCAAGTCCCGCCCAGATTCCTGCATTTTCTTCAGTATCTCCCTCCTTTGTTTGAAAACCAAATAAATATGGGCCGCCCAGGGAAGTTCTTTCTCTTTACCAGAGATTCTCAAATTCTGTGAGAGAGCTGGGCCCTCCTGGAGCCCTGATATCATTTCAGTTGTCTCATTTATTTAAGCCTTCAGCTGTCCACTCATTTGGGAGATTTTGGGCCTGATCAGCCCTCAATAGCTAAGCATTATTATTAACTTGATAGGGCCGGGGCTATAGCTTAGTGGCATAAGTGCCTGCCTGGCAAGCACAAGGTCCTGAGTTTGATTCCTGGTACCCCCCCAAAAAAAATTATTAACATGATAACTGAGTCTCACATAATGCAACTGCATTTCCTCACGTTCTTTCTACAGTAGGTGCTGGTTTTCCCACGTTATAGACTTTTAAAATTGAACCACAGAGA